GGATTCCCCCCCCGGCTGCTGATGTGGCAGTGATGTCCCTCGTGGTTGTCTTTGCTCCCCCAGTCTGCGTAACAGAGAACGAGCTTGGGCCCGTCGATCAATAGGCGGCAAATGTGCCGCTGGGGTGCAATGACCATCCGGGCCAGGTCCAGTCCCCATCCTCACGCGATGACCTCCGCTGTCGTCTCCGTCCGCCGTACGGATCCTCGGGACGTAATTGGAGCCATCAGGATCATCGGCGCCTGTGGGGCCACCGCCTTCAGCGGCTCTGGAGCTGTCGTCGTGGAGGATGATCGTGCCGCCTCGTCTCTTCTCAACTCGACCTGCTTCGTCCACTCTGTCACCTCCCTCCGCCCCCCCCTGTCCATCTGCGGCAGCTGGCATCTGTCTGGTCTCGTCCCTGTTGCGAAAAAAAGGATGCAGGCGGCGTCGGTGATACGGAATCGACAAACCTGTTCCCTTCTTCCTCTCCCGTGACAGCCTCGCAGTTGCCATCCTGGTGTCGTTGACATCGCTCGTCTTGGCCCGTATAGGCCTCCCATGCTGCTCCTCGTAAGCTCTCATGGAATCATGACAAGTGCCATCGACGTTGCCGATCGATCGCGCCCTCACGGGCACATCTGTCGGTTCATATGCTGATGTCTGTCCGATATCGCCCGTCCTCCGGTCCATGCCCGCACCGTCGTAGAAAGACCTCGTAGGCAATGCGCTCAGCGCGGCCTGCCCGTGGGCGGCAGGATCAGCGGCAGAGGGGTGTGAGGGTGGTGGACACATAATGTCACGCATCCCCATCAAATGCGGTCGAGGCTCATCTGTGTGCCCGTCTCCAACGTCATGTGTGCTAGGCCTGACAATGCTGGGGTGTGCGGTCGATGACCCTCTACGCTCGATGCCCCCCCTGAAGGACCGTCCACCATTTGCGCTCCCTGGCTGCGCTGTATCCTCGCTCACGCCCTCGCCTCCGTCCGAGCGGATAACTCCGGGAGGTTCGCCTCTAAAGTCTCCGCTGGCCCTCGATGTGGCTCTTGCTGCGGGCCCTCCTCTGGTGGATGGACTGATGACACGCCGTGCGATAACAGCTGCGAACCATGACCCCCCTGCGCCAAAAAATCTCCAAACGATGCCTATAGTGAACCTTCCAGACTACGTTGAGCTGCGACGTGCGGTCCACCACGACGATTCCGTGCTACCTCCTCCGCCAACCCCTGCTCCACCGCCCACGGTGCACTGACATGAAAAATGGCGGGAGTGCCAGACTCTGGAGGATGCAGTATCGTGTCGCCGCCAAACTCGTCGAACCCTCTGTCACGACGTGCGTCATCTCGTCTAGCTCCAGTGGTGCCACAATCAACAAAGTGGGAGATATCAGTAGCGATATATCGGGCAGAGATGCCAAGGCGGAATCCATGGTGAATAGCTCGTCGGTGGGCGGAAGACTGTTTGGCGGGCAGTCCAGGCCGACGTGGTGGTCCGTCGGAGGACGTTCGTCCTCCCCGTCCTTTCCACAAGTGGGAGTGGGTGCAACCTCTCCCTCCTCTAGACCGCCGTCACTCGTGTGAGGCGGCTCACGTCGTGCCTCGCCGTCCTCCAAACCCGTTCCTGTGGAGTGGACTGGGGCTCCTGCTGGAGTGGACCGGGTCCTCCGAACTCCGTCTCCTCCTCAATGCCAACAACCGGCACTGGCGACCAGGGATGAGTGATCCTGAACCCTGTATCCTCCTCCGTCACTATCACATCAGTGTTCGAGGCTAGTTCCTCTGCATGAACCGGTTCGCGCTGCGTCTCGTTGGAAGGATCTCCCATCTCGTCCTCTGACACGGCAACCGGGTCCTGCCGCATGTCACGTGCCCCCGTGTCAATCGCAATGTGGACAGGACGTCTGCGTACACGAAACGCAATACTGTCATCCCGCCTACCCCCGTGTCTCAACCGCTTCAAAACGTAGCGACCACGGGGCATAAAATCGCCGTCCACACGCTCGTCAACCCTATCGCCACGGCCCCCGCTCCGTCCACCATCCCCCCCCCCCTCACCGCCTCCACCATCTCCCCCCTCGTCACCGCCACCATCTCCCCC